GATCCCAGAGTCACCCAATGTCCTGCTTTTGTCTCTCCCTGAGAACCCATCCAGGTATGTCAACACCCATTGTTTCCCCAGCCTGGACCCATTGTCCAACCCACGCTGTCAGGATTAAAGCCATCCACCCCAAACCCTGCCCACATTCCTTTCCCCACACAGTCACTGAAGGCAGGCCCAGAAAACAGCCACAAACTTCAAACTGAAGAACAACAGTTTATTAAAGATCCTGCCAGGGCTTGCTAAGACAGCTGTGGCTTCCATAAATGCATCACACCACTACTAGTGCTGTCTCCCTTTCCCCCTCTTCCACTTCCAATTTACCAAGCCTTATCATCTTTTCCAATGAGTCATTTTGTCTAATGCTTTGCCCACAGTACAACTACTTCAATTCAGTATCTAGCATTCAGGTTTGATTTATTCTGGGCCTCATTTATTTTTCTTTTCATGGTGTCCATGGCACTCTTCTCTAGGACAATGTTTCAAATGAATTTATATTATTCCTTGTTGGCTTTCTTCCCTGACCAGCCATGACAACCATACCTAGAACTCAGAAATACTTCTGACTTTGATATCTACTAAACCATCTCCTTAAGAGTGGCTATTAACAAATAATAGTATGACGCTTACTTATTACTTAGGCGATCCCTCGTTGTCCAAGTAGGATAGTCTTCCAAGATCAGTGTACTGGCGGTGGGTCCGTAGGTGACTGTGGAGCCCTATTCTTGATCTGCATCTTCTCCCGCAGTGAGGGAATTGGTTTCCAGATGAAAGGCAGTCGCGGTTGGGGCTGGCTTGATGTGCCTTCCTCTTGGCACGTTTCTCCCATTTGCTCTCCATTTGTGCCTCTTCAAATTCTATAGCACTGCTGGTCACAGCTGACCTCCAGCTGGAGCGCTCAAGGGCCAGGGCTTCCCAGTTCTCAGTGTCTATGCCAGAGTTTTTAAGGTTGGCTTTGAGCCCATCTTTTAATCTCTTTTCCTGCCCACCAGTATTCCATTTTCCATTCCTGAGTTCAGAATAGAGCAACTGCTTTGGGAGTCAGTGGTCGGGCATCCGGACAACGTGGCCGGTCCAGCAGAGTTGATGGTGGAGGACCATCACTTCAATGCTAGTGGTCTTTGCTTCTTCCAGCATGCTGACATTTGTCCGCTTGTCTTCCCAAGAGATTTGTAGGATTTTCCGGAGGCACTGCTGATGGGATCATTCCAGGAGTTGCATAGACACATGCATAGTATGACGCTAGCAGATGGAGGTCTGTATAACAGAGCTGATTAACATACGGAGCTTTACTCATGCCATAAAAAACAGAGATGAACCTCTTGTTGAACTGTTCCCATTGGAATCTATCCCTGAAATTATTTTGCTTTTGTTTCTTTATGCTTGAGGATAGCCACTTTGGGGTTACAGAGTGTCTTCTTGGCAGGGGGTTGGATTGGATTGCCCACGAGGTCTCTTCCAACTCTATGATTCCACTGCAGTTTGTTTTTACCTCAAAGCGACCCCACTAAATAATATGGGTTTTTGACCAATTAAATTTATTAAGGAGAAAGATTTAGCGGAGATGCCATTTCAGCATTTGAGGAGGCAGGAAACTGGTAGAGTAGCAAACACAGAAAGTGAATTATGTCAGTCTGTGCTCTTTGTAAATTCATCAGGGCCTGAGAGCTGTTCAAAAATAATAATGAGCTTTTCCTTTCTTGAATGAAACCATTGGCCAAAGTTTGGCCAATTATTGTATTCTAAGTCTAAACAAGATATTCAACTGCACAATTTCTCGCATACTAGTGAAGAGAGCCAAATGTTGTGGCTCAGTCTGAGCCTGAGCTTTCTGAGCCTGAGCTTTCTGAGCCTGAGTTTCCTCAGGACAAGGAGGATGGTGGGTTACAGATTTCTGAACATGTCCCTGTTGTTGATGCAGACAGTGTTGATACTGAGGACAAGGCGGCGTTTCAGTTTCCCAGGGAAAGGAATGTTGTTTTGGAAGATGGTCATGATTTGAGTGAAACTTCACAGCTGCAGGTGGAGTCGGCCGCTCCATCTGTGAGCTCAGTGCCTGTCGATTCCCAGGGTGGCCAGTCCCAGGATAATGAGTTATTTGGCCTTGAAGGTGATGGGGATTTAGTTAGGGAGGACCGTTTGCAATTAAGGGTACGCCGAAGTGCTCGGCTTGCTAACAAATGGGAAGTTCGAGGTCAATGCAATGCTTTCATGCTAGGAAAACATATTTAATGATCTGATTGAAATCAACCCTTTGTCAGTGCAACTTTGCTTACACCCTGTTAACTTCTCTGGAAATGCCTCGGCTTTTGGGAAAAGCTTTTGGCTCTTTGGGACTTTGGTTTTGATCTTGGTTTTTGGGGACTTTGTCATGCTGCCATGGATTCTTGTTTGACCAATGACAGTGGATTATACTTCGTGTTATTTGCCTTTGGACCTTGGAAACTCTGCCTTTGCATTTAAGAATCTGTTTTGGCTATTGAACTTCTGCAACCTTATTTCTATGTTTATGATTTTACTTTCTCTTCAATAAACTACAAAACCTACAGCCTCGGTGTGTGGTGGTGTTCTGAGCAAGGTGAATCTATCCTGAGTTGCGACACCAGACATACACAAAGTAAACTTTGTCCTTTGTATCATTGGCAGTTTCTGGGCAGGGATCAGTAACTGTTATCTGCTATACAGCACTAATTTGTTTATGATTTTGCCTTAGTTCAGTAATAGGGCAGTTCAGCAGTTCACAGACTTGGATTATATGGCAGTGTGGATGGGGCCATAATCCTATGGAGCAGCTGGAATCGGAGGGAGGAGGGGAAACAAGAATTGCAATTTGTGGACCACAGGTCTGCAAAATTGAGGGACATAACTCTTTTTTGAAAAACTATATGCTGATTTCATAAGAATCTGTCATTCTAAATCCAAAAACTTCAGACAAACTCCATAATGTCTTCATGTTTATATGTTGTGAGATGTAACTGAATGAAATTAGTATTAAAATTAGCCATGGGATTTGTGAAAGACCTGTCTGAAATGTGGCATTTTTATTACGTTTTTCAAATTTAAACCCCAAAAATCCATTCAAAGAGCTATAGTTCTTCATTTCTAGATATGTTCTGGATTTTATTTTGTGTGCACAAGTCGCTTGTTGGTTTATGGTGACCCCATTAATTTCACTGTGTTTCTTAGGCCAGGAACCCTCAGAGGTCATTTTGCCAGTCCCTTTCTCTGAAATATAGCTTCTAGCAAATGGGTCAAATGGAAGCCCCACAAGCCAAATCCAGCCATCCATGTCATTATGTGGCCCCACAAATGCTGGACTACAACTCTTGTATTCCTCATAGTTAGACATCACAACTAGAGCTGATGGGATTTGTAATATTTCTATCTACTATTTCTATCTACACCCTACTCCCTAATACTAATATTTCTATCTAATATTTCTATCTACTCCCTCTCTGATCTAACCAATATTTCAAGCTATCCCCTCTCCAATTTATCTATCCCTCTCTTATCTGTGCCTCTCTTATCTATCTCTTATCAATAATAATAATAATAATAATAATAATAATAATAATAATAATAATAAACTTTATTTATACCCCACCACCATCTCCCCCAAACAGGGACTCGGGGCAGCTTACACGAGGCCAAGCCCAAACAACAACAAATTACACTGAAATAAAATACAATAAAATAAAAACCAAAATCTGGCTGCCGAGCGTTGGACGAGTTGCAATTTCCAGGCTGTCTTCAAGGGTAGCCCTACGTAGAGTGCATTGCAGTAGTCCAGTCCAGAGGTAACTAAGGCATGGACCACTATGGTCAAGTCAGACTTAATGAGGTATGGCTGCAGTGCGCGCACTAGTTTTAATTGTGCGAAGGCTCTCTCAGCCACCGCTGACACCAGTGCATCAAGCGTCAGCGCTGAGTCCAGGAGGTCTCCCAAACTGCTGACCTGTGATAGATCTATCTATCCCCTCCTATCTATCTATCTCTCTATCTAATCTTTCAATCTATTCTCTCTTATCTAATCTTTCAGTCTCTCCTCTCTCTTATCTATCTATACTTCTCATTTATCTATCTTATTTATCTATCTATGCTCTCTCTTATCTAGCTATCTGTTCTTTCTGTCTCTTATCAACCTATCCTCTCTCTCATTTATCTATGTTCCCTATCTATCTATCTATTTAGGTATCTAATTTGTCAAAGGCTTTCATGGCCGGAATTCCTGGGTTGTTGGTTTTCCAGGCTGTATGGTCATGCTCCAGAAGCATTCTCTCCTGATGTTTTGCCTGCATCGATGGCAGGCATCCTCGGAGGTTTTGAGTTCTGTTGGAAACTAGGAAAATTATATATCTGTGGAAAGTCGGGGGGGGGGGACTCTTGTCTGTTGGAGCTAGCTGTGAATTTATTTATTTATTTGCGGTGTTTCTATGCCGCCTTTCTCAGCCCGAAGATGACTCAATTGTTTCAATTGGCCACCTTGATTAGCATTTGATGGCCTGACAGTTTTTAGGTGTAGCTTGTTGTTGAAAGGTGATTAGCTGTTCCTGATTGTTTCTTGTCTGGAGTTCCTCCGAGTTTGAATTTTGTTCTTTATTTCCTATCTATCTAATCTATCTATCTAATCTATCTATCTATCTATCTACCTCTCTACCCTATCTATCTATCTACCTATCTACCTATCTATCTATCTATCTATCTATCTATCTATCTATCTATCTATCTATCTATCTATCTATCTATCTATCTATCTATCTATCTCTCTCTATCTATCTATCTATCTACCTCTCTACCCTATCTACCTATCTACCTATCTATCTAACTACCCACCCATCCATCTATCTATCCTATATCCTATCTACCCTATCTATCTAATCTTTCTAACCCTCGAGGACAGCCAGCCAGCCAGGCGGGTGTGGAGGGGCGGGGAAGAGGAGGGACCCACCCACGTGACGGGCCTCCCGCTGACGTCAGCGCCCCTACGCCGCGTCGTCGCCGAGGTGGGCGTGGCTAAGGGCTGCGCGCCCCGGCCGGCGCGAAGCGAAGGGGAGGGGGGGAGTCTCTCCTGTCAGCAGCGCGGGCGGGTGGGTCCCTGAGGCGCGCGCGCTTTGCCTGGATGGCGGAAGGCGCGCGAGGCGCAGGAGTTCCGGCGGTCGCGTGAAGCCCCCGCCGGCGGTGAGTCAGCCTGGCGGGCCAGGAAGGAAGGGAGAAGGGGAGAAGAGGGAGGGCGAAGTGGGGCTGGGAAGCAGGAAGAGGAGGCGGCGACGACATACAAGGCCGGGCCTTTCTGCAGGTGCCTCTCCCCCCGCGGTGCTGGCCTCGCAGAAGGGCAAGGCGAGGGTCAAGGCCTTCCATAGAGCTGCAGAGTGTATACAGCAGGCCTCCTCAAACTCTTAGAATTCCTGCTCATTGAACAAGCTGGCGAGGGCTTCTGGGAGTTGGAGGCCCAAACAGCTGGAAGGCCGCAGGTTGAGGAGGCCTGGAAGACAGCTTCTTGAAATGCACAGCTATGGGCCCTTCCAGGCAGGCCCTATATCCCAGGATCTGATCCCAGGTTTGCGGCTTTAAACTGGATTATATGAATCCGTACTGCCAGAAAGTCTGGGATCAGATCCTGGGATATACAGCCTGTCTGGAATGGCCCTCTGATGGCACAACCAAATGTTTTCTCCTCCAATCATAATAATATTATATTATAATTATATATTTTATAATATTACAATATAATGGTTGCAGGTTCGAATCCAGGGAGAGGTGGATGAGCTCCCTCTATCAGCTCCAGCTCCTCATGTGGGGACATGAGAGAAGCCTCCCACAAGGATGAGAAACTGCAAGTCGCTTCTGGTGTGAGACAATTGGCCGTCTGCAAGAACATTGCCCAGGGGTCGCCCGGATGATTTGATATTTTTATCATCCTTGTGGGAGGCTTCTCTCGTGTCCCCACATGAGGAGCTGGAGTTGATAGAGGGAGCTCATCCACCTCTCTCCGGATTCAAACCTACGCCTGTCGGTCATCAGTCCTGCCGGCACAGGGGTTTAACCCACTGCGCCACCGGGGGCTCCATTTTTTTTTTAGTGAAGGACATACATTGGGCTGTTAGGTGTCTTGTGTCCAAATTTGGTGTCTCCAATTCACAATTCAACTGCCGCACTGAATTACTGTTGTGGGCTGAGAGTTTATTTATTATTTATTTATTTATTTATTACTTGCACTTATTAACCGCCACTCTCAGCCCTAGGGCGACTCGTGGCGGTGTACAAAAACATAGAAAAGACAATTTACAATAGGTCAAGACAGCACAACAACATTCTACTACTACATAACATCTACTTATACTAAAAATCCGCTTCGTCTTATCATGTGGTCATAATCAATCTCATAGTCATGTCCATTCCGGTCAACATTTCCAATAACATAGCACTCAATTGAAGGCCATCTCGAAGAGCCATGTTTTTAGGCCTTTACGAAAGGCCATGAGGGAGGGCGCCTGTCTAACTTCAGCAGGGAGAGTGTTCCACAGCCGGGGGGCCACCACCGAGAAGGCCCTCTCCCTCGTCCCCGCCAGACGGGCCTGTGAGGCAGGCGGGATCGAGAGAAGGGCCTCCCCAGATGATCTCAAGGTCCTCGTGGGCTCGTAGGCCAAGATGCGGTCCGAAAGGTATTTTGGGCCGGAACCGTTTAGGGCTTTGTAGGCCAAAACCAGCACCTTAAATTGGGCCCGGTAGCAAATCGGCAGCCAGTGGAGCTGGGACAGCAAGGGCGTTGTATGCTCCCTGCGTCCTGCTCCTGTTAACAACATGGCTGCCGCGCGCTGGACTAGCTGAAGCTATCCCACAAACGAACATTACATTTTTATTTATATAGATTATATGTATGTGTGTATATATATATATCTATATATCTTGTAAGCCACTCGGGATGAGAAGAGTGGCATATAGATGTCGTAAATAAATAAATAAGACCTCCTAAAGACCTCAGAGGCCATCCAGACCTATTCATGCACATGTCTATAAATGCAGTCTCTCTTAAATGAATGCACACACATATACCACACGTGCAGACATAGGAATCAGGAGATGTATTGGGACCACATACATACCTATAAACATACATATACATGCTATGAACCATCCTAAAGTCTAAGATCAACGGGAGAGGCCCTGCTCTCAGTCCCACCATCCTCGCAAGTGTGACTGGTTGAGATGAGAGACAGGGCCTTCTCAGTGGTGACCCCTAGCCTGGGGAACTCTCTACCTAGTGAAATTAGATTGTCCCCCTCCCTCTTATCCTTTAGATTGAAGCTCAAAACCTGGATATGGGGCCAAGTGTTCGAACAGTAGGGGCAGCAATTTAGAATGAGACCCAATTTGTGTGAATGACAATGGACTGACCTGGACTATGATTTCAAACCTGCCCTTCCACACAGCCTTATATCCCAGGATATCAAGGTACACAATATCTGTTTTGAACCGGGTTATCTGTGTCCACACTGTCATATATTCTAGTTCAAAGCAGAAAATGTGGGCTTTCCTGCCTTGATATTCTGGGTTATATGGCTGTGCATAGACAACTCCTTAATAATAAATAAATATTATATCTATTTAAAAATTTAACCCTCTGTTTCCAGGGATTCAGTTATCCATTTGAAAATATTGTTTTAAAAAATCCAAAAAGCAAACCTAGCATCCACAGGGGACACACGAACCAAACTGCATTGTATACGCCAAGGGCCCACTGTAATTTGGATTCCACTGATCCTATCTGTCTAAAGATATATTGTTGGGTAAGTGATGGCAAGAATTAAAGGGGAAACCCCAAAACACTAGTTATCCTTAGCAGGCCTGTTAGTAACACAGGGCCCTTCTACAATGCCATATAACCCAGAATATCAAGGCAGAAAATCCCACAATATCTGCTTTGAACTGGGTTATCTGAGTTCACACTGCCATATATTCCAATTCATAGCAAAAATGTGGGATTTTATTTTGCTGTGTATAAGGGACTAGAGTGTCTAAGGCCCCTTCTTCCCAGATGAATCAAATCCAGAGTATCTGCTTTGAATTGGATTATATGGCAGTGTAGACTCAAATAATCCATATAATCCAGAATATCGAGGCAGATAATCCACATTATCTAATGTGGATTATCTGCCTCGATATTCTGGATTATATGGCAGTGTAGAAGGATCTTTAGGGGTCTCTTATTCATAGATAGGTTTAGGCCAACACGATGGCAATCAACAATGAAATCTGTTTCAGTATTTGTTTCTCACTTTGGTTATGGGGGAGGAAACTAAATGGGAGAAATTGCAAGGAAGCAGATTTGGGTTGAGGATTAGAGAAATATCTTAACGACAAGAGCTGCTTGACTGGACTTTTATTTGTCATGGCTGTTGTTGCTGGAAAATTCCTGCACTCATTTTATGATTCTTTAACATTTTTGCCAAGACTTATAATACCATGAAAAGTCCCAAACTCGAAATTCCTAAGTAAATCAGTTTCCTTATTCTATGTACAAGAGTCTGTAGTTTGGCCTGAAATGGAGAAACACAATTTATGAGGTTGAATACTTAATTGTGGAGTCTCAGTACAGTGAGTGACAGTTACCCACCCTAACAGATGAGTCATCATAGGAAGTCATACAGAATCCTCTTATAATAGTGCTGTGTGCTTGTTTTTGTTTTTAGTCTGAGCTCCTTTATCTGAAAGAAATGGTGGTTAGATTCTGAGGTTACAAACCAAAAGAGAGGGTTTCATAATCTATTAGCATATTCAGGAGCTTCTAAAAGAGAAGTATGTAGGAAACTCACAGCTAGACTTTCACATGGAGTTTTACCTACATAGTAGTAAACAAAGGTACCCACAAAGTTAAACTTTACTACTGAACTTACTCAGCAGTGTTATGTGTCTTCAAATCCCTGTCAATTTACTTATGGTAACTCCATGAATTTCATAAGGGTTTCTTAGGCAAGCAATATATAGTTTTTCCAGCTCCTTCCACTAAATATGGCATACAGTCCCTGGTAGTCTTTGGTGGTATCCCATCCAAGTACTAACTAAGGCTGACCCTGCTTAATTTCCGAGATCAGGTAGAATCTGGTTCTTTTAGAGAATGCTCTATGGCATTTTGGGGCACACTTGTCTTCCATCCAAATACTCTTTCTTTTCCCCTCAAATTCTAATATAGCTGCTCATCGCAGTGAAAATACTTTCCCTTCTTTTCCTTAACAGTTTAGCTTCCTTTCATCAATTCTCACAAAGAGCACATATTTGAGCATAGCCTAATAAGCTTCTTTTTTCAAAACCAGGACTAGAAATAGTAATGAAAATGATTCACAAAAGTAGTGCACAAGATGTTCCTCCCTGTCTTTCAACAGCTCCGATTCATCGTTTCCTTTAAGGAGACTAAAATGTGGGTGGCCAAGTTACACTTGTAGAGGGAGGAATAGAGTTATAGGGCAGCCATAATATGGTCACATGCCAGAAAGAGAGCAGAAAAGAACGCAGCGAGCAGGCGAAGGCCTATAAGGAAGTTGGCACTAAATCAAGATTGGGAATTATATTACCCTCCAGATGTTTTAATTTGTAACTCCTAGAAGCCCTGGAAGAAAGCAAAAGGAAGATTGGCTGCACACTGCTGCTTAGTTAGTCAAGTAGAGGAAGTCAGGGAAGGGGGTACATATAAAAATACAGTAGCAGTATGTTTTGTTGGGTTTTTTTTGTGTGCATTTTTTTGCAGTGACGTTGAGCTGCTTGACAGGAGAAATGCTTGCAGTTTTACAAGCAAAAGAGCCAAACACTGTGACTTCTTCTTGGGGACTACACCCCAGCTCTGTTGGCTAGATATAAATGTTTGGTTGTCTTGACAACTGTTTGTGAACTACTAGGATGATAAACTCAGAATAAAAATGTAGGGAAGGAACCTGGGTTTTTTCCTGGCACAGAGGAAATGTGAAGGTCAGTTGAACCCTTCCCTGATGAAAGCATCTGGAGAAAGGTCTCTATAGATAACTGCAGCACAAGAACGTACGAATGTATAATGGAGATGGGAATTATGTGTCTATTCAGATTTTGTTGGACCGCATGTCCCATCAGCCCTGGCCAGCATAGCCAGTGATGGTTAATACTGGGACATGTAGTCCAGTAACATTTGTACTGCTACAGGATCCCCACTTCTGATGTAGAAATAGAAATTCCTTCAGATACTCAAGTCTCAAATGGGTAAAGCTTTAAAATTGCGCAGTAACCCGTTGAGCTGGGCTCAGAAATTGTGCAATGTCAAAAGAGTTCTTTCAGAAAGCAACAGATGTTCCCAGTGACTGTCCTCAGATAGTACTTAGCAACTGCATGCAGTGTCCAGATCATCTTACATTGAAGTTACCCAGCTCTGTGATGTGATGTTCAGATTATTGCCCAAAAGGTCTGTTGATTTTTGTTATAATGAGCATATCTTTGAAGCAGTTCTGATTGAAGCATGCATGAATTAAGTAGAAGGGTTGGTTGATTTGTGTACGGCAAAAAGAAACACACCTATTAATCTTTAGATATTTGAACTTGGTCATCATTGACCAAGATACTTTGCAAAGTTGGCTGTTGTGATTTCAATGTAACATTCAGGCTGGGTTTAGGAGAACATTAGAAAATCTTTAGTAATATTTCAAGTGCCATGAATGAGATGTCCACCAGTTATTATGAAGTGTTTCTTAGTGCATTTGTTTAGAAGATGTTATTAACGACAAAGGCTTGTTATGTTCCTTTCCTCTGATACACACAGATAACAGGTAAAGAAAGTCATTGTATGTAGGCTCATCATCATGTGTAAATTATTTTCTTGATGCACAGCTTCTAAAAAGTGATAGAAGTGTGCAAAGCCAGAAGGCCTTTCTTTATATGTTTGTTTCAGGATTTGATTTTAAATGTCTGTATATGTCTCTTTAATGTGTAGCCCAATACTGTAGTCAGTATGTAGCTTCCAACTTCTTCTCACAGGTTACATTATTATAACCTCCAGCCAACTTCCAGAAATGTAACTTCAGTCCTGTAACTTGACACGAGACTTTAATATATTAGTTGAAACAAATAAATGTTTATTTATGAATTCTTGTGCACATAAAGCTTATTTGTTACACAGTACTTTACTTCAGTTCCACTTGGATATTGCTACATCTGTCTTTTACCCTTGAGAATACATGAAACTTATTATATAATTTTCAGAACAGTTTAACTTATGTCAGCTTGGTTAGGCAACTTCCTTCTCTTTCAAATATAATTTCTCCTCAACCTTCTGACTGGATAACATATCTTATAGTCACTTTTTTCCCATCAATAGCCTGACTGTAAACTTAGTCTCAAAGGACTCTCTGTCTCTCAGTTCCACCTGACTGAGGACTTAGATTCAAATTAGTCTCTTTTTTACTTCAGTACCACAACTGAAGGCACAAACTTATACAAGGATCTTCTTCCCTCTAGCTCTCAGACTAGAGTCTGACTCAAAGTGGTCCCTTTTTCACTTCAGTATCACAACTGTAGATGCAGACTTAAACTAGGAACCTTTTCACTCTAGCTCCCTTGGCTAGAGACTGAATAATTTTCAAAATGTTCCCTCGTTTTCTTCTCAGCTAGCTCCGCCCCTTTTTCTTGCTAGCCACTCTAAAATGGATACATTTCTACTGCAGAGGCTAGACAACCATGGTGATGCATTGACCAATCAGATGTAGCGACCTCCTTCCTGCCCTTGCCATAATACCATTTAGTCCACTAGATCAAATAGCAGCCCTTATTCCTGCCCACTGAGGTGGTTGCTAATGCTTAGAAATTCAACATAGAAGAAGATTAAGGATGAATCAGTGTTAGTTATCGCTTTCTGTTTATTAGTCTTGTTTTTGGTGTTTATTGAACATATTTATCTAGATTTAATTATCCATTTTAAAAAAATAGGGAGGAATCACTTAGGGACAACTGGAACGAACTAGAAAGTTTGCTGTGGAGTCACTGATGGTTTATATCATAAGGGATCTATCTGGAAAGCCATTGCAGCTGGGTGAGTTTGAACAACGTCCCTTCCATTCAGCCAAGCTGCATCATTGGGGCTGCAGTTTTACACAGGGCCAGATTCATCCTGTTGGGTAACAAGGTGCCAGCTCATCTTCTAAAACAGGGCAAACACTGGCACTAAGTTGGCTAATGATCTCTTCATCCTTTCCCCTCCATTGGTTGCCACCCTGCATATTAAACAGCAAGTATAGTGGTGGAAGTTGTATTCATGCGTGAAAAAAGGTCATTCTGTTAATTATGTTTAGAGTTAAGATCCATCAGTTCACTTTCTAAACGTTAGTTTGAAGCAAAAACAAGAAGATATCTGTGGCAATCTTAAAGACTAGCGCAGTTATTATAGCATAAAATTTCATGGAAACAAAACTAATGTTACTTTTTAAAATGTTTAGCCTTTCAGGTGTCACAGGGCTCTTTGCTGTCTCTGGAGAAAGTAGATGTTTACCCAGGGCCCTGGAGAAGAATCAGAAAACAAAAGTGCTTGGGAGCAAAGGTGAAACTTGAAGCAATTTATCTGTTTGTTTATCTGAGTGAAGTGTATTAAGATGGCAAACAATTTGAAAAAGAAACTTTGTTTCTGTGGCTCCCCCTTCACTTTTTAACAGTTCGTTTCCAGTGAAAGTTGTCATGTTAGAGGAACTAGAATTTCCTAAGATGCTTAAATAAATGCAGACACTTCTCATACTTTCTGTTACTTCCAAATTATATTTATTTAGTGAAGGAAATAATCTTGCCAGAATAAAATTTGACCTTGAATAGGAGAACAGAATACATGTTGTGAAAAGCCAAAACAAGCATATTTGCAGGTGCTTTTCTTTACATTGTTTTATTTTCTAATTTCCATGTATTTAGATGATAGCTGCTTTTTTGGGTTGCTGTGAATTACTTTTCTTTTTGGCGCCCCTTGCTTCTTCTCAGGACTAGTGCCTTGTACTTTAGGATTGTTAAATTTTTTTAAAATCATACATGCACAGATACAACTGAACATATACCAGTACTTAAAGAAGACCAGAGTGGGGTGTTTCCAGGCCTGTGGGACTTAGATTTGCGAAACAACTTTTAAAAACATTGGTAGAGGGTGTGGAAGAAGTGGAATAGTTAGCAGAGGAGCAGGAGCAGAACAGTTACTATGGCAAGGAACACTACGAAACTTTCCACATATATGAATTTTAATCTCTTAGTAACAACTTCCACACCGAAATTCCATGGATAGAATGTCAGTTCAGATCAATTGCATAAGTTGATCATAGGACTGCAAATTATTTAATTTTAGGTGTCTGTAGTGCCTTCAGTAAAAATATTATGTGAGTAGTTCATACTGTTACCATAATAATAGTAGTAATAATCCTCATTTTCCTCCACCACCGCGACTGCCACCATTGTTTTGAAGGTAGATGTTCCTTGAAATTTAGGGCAGGAGTCTTCAAACTTTTTAAGCCAAGGGCCAGTTCTCGGTCTCCCAGATGGATGGGAATGCCATACATTGGAAATGACGATAGGACACACAACCATGCAAATATAAACATTTTGTTTTTTTTTTAAAAATTAATCATTGTAAAATTAAATATTTCATAACCTATTTTTTTCAGTTTTGGGGTTGGGGCAGACTTTTTAGGCAGAAAGCACCCCCCCCCCAAACCTTCATACCCCTTGCTCACTTTTTTTTAAAAAAAACAAAAAACAAAAACATAAAGCTGTAATGAGCAGTGTGCAATTAGTTCAGTCATTTTCTTCTTCTTCTTTTCCTAGAAGGGAACACTCCTATGAGGACAGCACAAACAGCATGATGGATTCAGAAGACCTTGTTCTAAAAAAGTCAAAAACAGACCAAATCAGTCACCGGATTGTAAAAGTTGGCTCAGGCAAACATTACATTTGTGGTTATTGTGCCGCTATAACAAACGTTACCGTCACCTTCCCCATCCAGAAAGTCCTCTTTCGGCAGCAATTGTACGGCATCCGCACCAGGGATGCCATCAGCCAGCTGCAGAAGGATGGCCTCAGGAATCTGTATCGAGGAATCCTCCCTCCACTGATGCAGAAGAGCACGACCCTGGCATTAATGTTTGGCCTGTACGAGGACTTGTCTTCCATACTCCTAAGGCACATGAGTGCCCCTGAGATTTTGACCCGGAGCTTAGCAGCGGTGCTTGCTGGCACCACAGAAGCTGTCCTGACCCCTTTTGAGCGCGTCCAGACACTTCTCCAGGACTACAAACATCACGACAAATTTACAAACACTTTCCAAGCGTTCAGGCTCCTCAGAGAGCACGGGGTCCGGGAATACTACCGAGGTCTGGTGCCCATCCTCCTTCGGAATGGCCCTAGCAACGCCCTTTTCTTTGGCCTGAGGGGACCCATCAAACAGTGCTTGCCAGAAGCCACGACGTACAGTACTCATTTGATCAATGATTTTATCTGTGGAGGGGTGTTGGGAGCTATGCTGGGATTCCTGTTTTTCCCATTGAACGTTGTCAAAGCCCGCATGCAGTCGCAAATTGGTGGGGAATTCCAGTCTTTTTCTAAGGTCTTCATGAAGATCTGGTTGGAGCGTGACAGGAAAGTGACACATCTCTTTCGCGGCGCCCATCTGAATTATCATCGCTCCCTAATTTCCTGGGGCATAATCAATGCAACATATGAATTTTTGCTCAAATTACTATGAAAGATTTTACTGCTTGGGGTTTTTTTCCCCCCCTCAGGTGGGCATCAGAGCAATTTCCAGGGAGTAATTATACTTCAACTGGTAACACTGGACTCCATTAACACTTGGAAGCATAATTGCAAAATAATTCTTCTTTAGTAGGCAAAGGTGTCATTTATTTTAATCAGTGCGTGCTTTCCTCAAAGTATCACTGAATTCACTTGTATTGATGGCCTTTCAGTCTGTGGATGTGTCAGCTGTACAGCTAAAAGAATTGGCTGAAACATAAGATCAGAAGGTGGTTTCACCCAAAGCCTGGTAAACTGAATTTTATGTTAGCCTGTAAACGGTTTGTTCCAGATCGCCTCCAGCTTTCCTCGACACTCCTAGTGACTCAAACAATGCACTTTGAAGGAACGTGACTGGACATAAGACTAATATTGAATTTCTTTCTTAGGCCTTTGGTTGGATGTTTTTACTGAGTGGGCCTTAAGTTTCCATAATGCTCAAATCATACATGCATTAAAAAAACTCATTGGAAAGAGATTGCCAAATTTGGAAAATAGTTCTAACAAATAGGATTCTGTGAAACGTCTTTAATAGTTTTTGTTAGACTCTCGATATACATTGCATCTTGTCAAGGCTTAATATTAAATGTCAGAATTCACCCTGAACTCGGTGGTGGATGTATCTGTTTAAAATTGAAATAGCTGGTGGCCAAAGGGTTTAGGATTGGAAAACAAAGTGTCCTTCATATTACACTGCCACACAAATTTTCAATGTGAATGTGTGTTTGGTTCCCTTGCTGTTTTGGTGCAAGTGGATATGCTGAGTAGCATGAGGATTTTTAGTTTTAAGGAGTATCGTTAAAAGTCACAACAGATGCAATCCGTCACAAAACTTAAAAGCATTTTTGGAAACATTTAAGTAGTGTATGTACCCTTTTGAAATTTAGCAGTGATGTTAAGGAAGATTTTAGTGCACCCAAACACATACCTGGGAGTCTTCCTGGTGCCATTTTTAGCTTATTCCACACTGGTGAAAAGGCATTTATGGAATTATTTCACACTGTTCTGGCATGTCATTTATTGGGGGAATGGAGACCTGCCTTGCCTCCTTTAATGTGAAGGGATATCTATCCAAACAGGCCGGGTGTACGAAATCTCTCAATTTATTTTCTCAGCAGTTCAATTGTCTGTAGGGGAAAAGGACACATTGTTTATAGCCTATATCCAGACTGCCAACTGGTGTCATAGTAGATGTACAACTGCATGGGTATAACAGGAAGGAAAGGAAAATTCGCAACCACAGCATAGAGCTGACGTTCTGTGTGCATTTAATCATGCTGACAAATATTTCTGTGTACATAGGAATTCAGGCAAAAAAATGAAATATGGACAGGAACAACCCAAGTTCTTGTCGCTTATCAAGGGAAGAGCAACTCTTGTAATAATGCTCATTATGGAATTGGCATTTTTGGTAATTTTAAAATCTATAAATAAGTGTTAATATTTTCTTATTTGTCATGTACAGAAAAGCTTTTCCAAACCAATATGATGATCCTTCAATTGTTAGAGTGGGTTTTTTTCAAAGTGTAATTGACTTTTCAGCAGTAAAATGGTCTGATTTTTATTTTACCTTGCCTATGGTTTACCTGAAAAATTACTCCAAAGCATCCATTAATTGTAGTCTGCCTTCACTCATTTCTTGATACTTATACAGTGCTCGTATATGCTATGTAGTCCCACAGTCATATTGCCAAGCACAAAATGCAAGAATGTTTGATATTTTGAATGTTGTAACTATATACATTTCAATAAAATGTCTGTTGAATGTTAAGCTGGTAAAATTGGGTTTTACCAGTGGGGTTTTTTTGTAAGTTGCTTTGAAGGAATAAACAAAGTAAATTTCATTTCCTGGAATGGATTAGACTAGTATTTTGCTCTGTCCATTTGTGTCTGAATCTCCCCACTCCATGATCTGTGATGTAAATAGAATTGGGGCAGGAAAACACCTTTTTATTTATTTACTAGCTGTCTCCTGCCACGTGTTGCTGTGGCCGTCTGTGTATATGTGTTTTGTGTTCATATCTATGTGTATATTTGTATATATGTGGTTTTGTGCATGCATTGTAATGTAATTTTTATTTTTTGGCTTTTTAAGTCTCTTCCGCTGTGTTTTTCAGTATTTTTATGAGTGATGGTCATTTGTTGGCCTGATAGGTATATTGTGTCAAAATTTAGTGTCCGTTTGCCCAGTGGTTTTTGAGTTATTTTAATCCCACAAATGAACATTACATTTTTATTTATATAGACGCGTTGCTGTGGCCCTCAGAAAACAGGAATTCCAGTTGAAGCAATAGACAGAAGGGACAGATGGAAGGAACATTGACAGATGGAACAGAAGGTAGATAGATAGAGTGGTAGATGGAGTGATTGATTGATGGATGGAGTGATTGATGGACGCACAGACAGCTTTACAGCTAAAAGGGGTTGGACTGGATGGCTTCTGGGACTCCCTTCCAATTGGTTGACCATCTGTTGGGTGAGCTTTGATGGTGTCTTCCCTTACTGGAAAATGAGGTTGGACTGGATGGCCTATGAGGCCCCTTCCTATACTCCAAAGGGTTTCCCGTGCCCGTCCTTCCGTGCGTGGCATCAAAGGGCCTTTCCCGAGGCGATCCCCCTCCCTCCCCTGCTGTGACCTAGCCTGGTGATGTGGAAAATATTTCAAAAGTAAACAATTAAATACTTTTAAAATACTAACAGTAAAATATTTTAAAGTTAATTAAATATTTTTAGATTTAAATGTTGTAAAGTTAAACAATTAAATATTTTAAAATTAAAACATTAAAATTAAATATTTTAAAATTAAATAATTATTTTTAAAACAAAGTATTAAGTAATTAAATATTTTATAATTAAACCAAATAAAATAAATTAAATTAAAATATTAAAATAAAGTATTATAAAATTAAACTATTTGTTGTTCATTCGTTCAACTATAAACCTTTGTACTTTCTTCCTTGATTTCCTCCAGTAATCACTTCAAATTTCTGATACTTTCTGTTAGTATTATGGTGTCATCTGCATATATTAAATTGTTGAAGTTCCTTTACTCCTGCTAAATCTAACCCTGCTGTACCTATGGTACATTCAGTGTACAAATTAAATGTAACCTTGCCTGACCCTCTTGCCATTTCCCTATAGTCTGCCTAATAGTAGCCCCTGAGTACAGGTTGCTCCTAATTATATGTTACTTGTAACTGTTTTTCTGTACCATCTTTGTATGACTAAAAATCTTGTGAAAGAAAAAATTGCACATACAAAAATCAGGGTTTACTCTCAGAATCGGAGCGGAGTCATGTGGCAAAATGCAAGTTTAATGTGCAGAAGGTCACTTTCACCCCCACTGAATGCAGCACAGGCTGTTTCCAGCACAGAAAATGCTGATTTATATGCAAAATACCCACATGTTAATTTTGTGCATAATAGTCCTGAATTGCAAATATTTTTATTAGCCTAGGATGATTCTTGTCAGTTTCTTAATGCTAAAGAACCATTTTTTTCTAACAATTTCTGAAACATTTTCATATATTTTATCCATTTGTTAATATTATCTCACCAATCCTTGTAACAATCGCTCTAAGATGGAGAAGGATAATTTCTTTATAAAGTGGGGAGGTAATAATGGAGGCTCAGAAAACGGTGATTGAACTGAGCTATTGATCAAATATAACTCAACACAAGGCAGATGCTGAGGAACCACTTCCCCTTTCAGAAAAGGAGCATGGCTATCAGAATCTTCCTCTACAGACACTGGGATTGTATAGAAGAGAAAGTGAGCTTTCAATGAGACCATAAACATAAGAAAAAAACATATTTAATTTTCTTGAAAACAAAGTTACCCATTGAATTCTTGTTTGTTTCTAGTTTGCTATGTGTAACAGTTAGTGAGACTGTCATATTCTTGAGTAAATTCTCTCCTGAATTTTGTTAAATGGGCTGGTATAACACTTTAGTGACAAGGTCCTTAGGATGTGTACAATGTTTTGTTTTGTTTTTTTGTGTCAGGAGCAACTTGAGAAACTGCAAGTTGCTTCTGGTGTGAGAGAATTGCAAGCAAAATGTATTGATTAGTCCACTGACAGTATCAACATTAAAACAAAAACAGAAACGTACACAAATAGACAATAATCACTATCCTAGGATTCCCATAATAGTGAACTAACATACATTCAAACTTGATTAAGTTAAAAGATATTTAAAAATATCATAATTAAAATGCCAAGGTAAAATTTCAAACCACAAAAAATAAAAACGAAGGTTAAAATAGACCAGCTATTACACAATCCCAAGCCAATTCAGATATCTGCGTCACCCCTACAGTTTACCCCAATCACCTCCAGATACRCAGTTCTCAGCTGCGTTGCTTTATGAAGGAAAAGGCTGTTTGGTATGTTATCTTAGCATTCTGGCCAGCCATTAAGAATGCAGTTTTGATATGGGGATCCCAGTGAGTCTTCTGTATAATGAATTCTCCRAGGTATTGATTTCTCTCTTTGTTGTACAAAATACAACTAAACAGAACATGTGTAATATCCTCTACCTCTGTCGCCCCACAGATASAGAAACGCTCATTATATGGAACTTGGTTAAACATTCCATGTTTAACCATTGTATCTGTCTGTTCGAATCGGGTTCTAGTGAATACCCTCCTTAGATGTTTAGGCATTTCTGTCTTTAGGTATTCAGCTGTTTGAAAAGTATGTTTGAAGCGACTTAACCATTTTAGCAAGCCTGCTTTACTAAGGGTGGCAATGTCTTTCTGAGCCTCTATATCCTGTATTCTTTGTGCCACTRTTTTTGGATCTAGTTCTTTTAGGAGATTTGGATATAGAATTGGTAGTCCACAACTCCTGATGTATTTTGTCAGTTGCACTAACCAGGACTGATGTTGGTTTTTGGCCGGCTCTAACAGGCACAATTTTGGTAGCCTATCATTTACCATGGCATTTAGTTTTATCCAATATTAATATGCCCTAATTTTGGATAAAACATCCACTGTATATACACCTATTTCTGCTCTCACTGCTGCAGCTGAGGTCTTTTTATCCACTCCTAGAAAGTTACGCAGGTGTTGTGCTTGAGATTGCTCTAATAATGATACCTAGATTTAGGCCCTAGATTTCCGCTCCATACAGGGGAGAGAATGGGCTGTCTGCAAGAACGTTGCCCAGGGGATGCCCGGATGTTTTGATGTGTTACCATCCTTGTGGGAGGCTTCTCTCATGTCCCCACATGGATAGCTGGAGCTGATAGAGGGAGCTCATCCACGCTCTCCCCGGATTTGAACCTGCGACCTGTCAGTCTTCAGTCCTGCCAGCAAAGGGGTTTAACCCACTGCGCCACCGAGGGCTCCAGTGTACAATGGTGGCACAGAGTTATTTCTTCCAGAAGCGTAGCTGTTAGGTCAACTGAATATGACGAATTACAAGTTTGGCTACAACTTCCACATATGACAACAACAGCCAAATCAGTCAGTTATGATGTTTCTAAAAACACTGACTCTCAAGGTAGGTTTTGGAGTGGATTTTGGTCACTGTGTGGTCAGAACCAAAGAAGTGAGTTGCAAAAGCATAGGTCCATCTTACACCATTAACTTCCATGCACTGAACGCAAGTGTTTCAGGGGAAATGTAATCTCTCTCCAGAATTGGTTGACATACCTCCACCCCCCAGATTAGGACTCTCAACAGCAAGCTTATCTGGATTCAGTTTCAATGTGTTTTTCTTCAGCCAATTACCTCCTCCTGGCATTCATTTAGGGGAGACACAGTATCCTTAGCTAAGGCGTATTGGGGTGTCACAAATGTACTGATAGCACCCTGCCCCATTCTTCCAGAAGATCTCTCCCAGAGGTCTCATGTAAATGCCGTTGGGGGACCAGAAAATACCAACAGGGAACACTCCACCAGTGTTAAGACATAGATCATCCCCAAAACCTGAGCCTCCAAACTAACATTTGTGGGCTGATGCGGCCCTCCACGGTCATTTACCTGGCCTCTGTTCTGAACTTTAGACTTACCCTAAGTCAGAAATGACTTGAAGGCACACAACAATCCTAATTAACTTGACTATCTCATCAGTCAAAAGCAGGCCCACACTTCCTATTAAAATACTGGTAAGTTTATGTTGGTTAATTTTTTTCTTAATTTTAAATATTATGTTGTTCTTTCATTTTTTAAAATAAGGTATGTGCAGTGTGCATAGGAATTTGTTCATTTTTTTCAAACTATAGTCCAGGCCCCCAACAGTCCGGGACCAGCCCTCGACTTAAAATGTTTGAGGACCCCTGCCCTAATATCTCAATTCCTGCTGGACACCTCCCCACACAGAAATTGCCATGTAGTGACATTGTGCTGTGGATTGAGCTTATTCTCAAAGCTGCAGTGCAAAAAGCATTATACACAAAATGTTCACTCCATTTTGAAGACTAAAAGAGACAACTGCAAATGAATTCCAAGTGAAGTTGTAAAGTGTTTATTATACAAGGAGGATAAATTGTTCAAACATTAAAGTCACTCTTACACAGGTAAATACATTATTTAGACATATCTCACTAGTGTACTGTATGTCAAATTTACATCCTTTATTATGGAATCTCAAAATTTGTAAATATTACATGCACTCATTTGAACTTCTCTTATTTTTTTAATGAATTGGATGAAAAGATGGTGTTCCAATAAGCGGCTGCAGCAAATCAGTTTCCAAACAAAGATGAAAATCAAACAAACTGAAGATAGAGGTTAACAGATGCCTCAGCAGTGTGTCTTTTAACTCCCTAGCAGCTTTTTCAACCTAATTCCTTTGGGAGATTTAGGATTTAAATCTTATAGTGGTCTCCCAAGTTG